ATAAATTGTCTATGACAGTTCAAAGTGTGTATACATTTTTTGACGCACCCTGTATATGAGATTGAACATGAGAGATGAGTTGTGATTGAATCATATGATGGCAGCCTAAGAAACGCATTGAAAATGATTGAACCCACGACTCTCTAGGAATGAGAAAGGACTGGAGATGTTGTAGTAGAGTTATATTAATGTAGTGGAGTGGATACATTTTCAGGAAACACCGGCCATTCCGATATCCACGTGACCCTTCCCCCTAGATGGCACCTTGTGTCCGCGCATAAAAAGGCAGACAACGTGGGCACTGTCCATTCTTACTTACTTAGACTTAGGTCCTCCAGCGCCTTTCGGCGCATTGGGCGGCAAGCTGTCTCCATAAAGATCTGTCACTGGCAATGTCTGAGGCCTCCTCCCACCTGGTGTCCACTGTTCTGAGGTCCTCCATGAAGGTGTGTCGCCCTGTTTGCGCTTTCCTTGTTTTGGCTTCCATGTTATCGCAACTCTTGGTGTGCGTAATTCATTTTGACGTAGAACATGTCCCGCAAACCTCATGCGACGCTCAGTCACAACCTCACCAAGTGTTCGACTTCCAGTTCGGCATAGTATTTCCTTGTTTGAGACCCGATCTGTGTAACTGACTCCCAAAATCCGTCTCAGCCATTTCTGTTGAGCGACATTTAGTCTTTTCTCAATTTTGACAGATGACTACCACGTCTCACATGCATATGTAGCAGTTGGAATGACGATTGTGTTGAGAAGGTGTATTTTTGTCTCGAGTCCAATGGCTTGGCTAGTCCAAATAGGCTGCAGCCTTTGGAAAATGCTCCCTGCCTTTCCTATTCGGCACTCTACATCATGGAAAGCATCTCCATCATTTGTTATGATGCTGCCAAAGTACGTGAACTTGTCCAGCTCTTCAAGCTTTGACTCGCCAAGTCTGACGGGGACACCCTTTGCCTTATATCCCACTCGCATAATTTTAGTCTTATCCAAGCTTATGCGGAGGTCAATTTTGGGTGCCTCTCTGTCTAGGCTCTCCGTCATTTCTTGAATGCATTTATTTGTAGCCCCGAGTAGTGCAACATCATCAGCAAAGTCCAAGTCCGCCAATCGGAGCTGTTCATGCCATGGAATACCAAAGGCAGTCTGGTTAATTGCTCTCCTCATTATGTAGTCGATGGCTAGGAGGAAAAGGAAGGGAGATAAGATGCACCCCTGTCTCACACCTGTCTCGATTGTAAAAAAACTCGGTTGTTCCCTCTTCTGTTTTAATGAAGCAACTAGATTGACTGTAAAGGTGTCGTAGGATCTGGACGAATTTTTCTGGGATACCGTATTCTCTAACTATTTTCCATAGCGATTCTCGGTGGACACTATCACACTTTTTTGAAGTCTACGAAACTGATCGTTAGCCGTTGTTGGTACTCAAGACTTTGTTCTATGATATTTCGTAGAACGAAAATCTGCTCTGTACATGATCTGCCTCTTCGGAAATCTGCTTGTTCTTCTCTGAGCCTTTCATCTACAGACTGTTGAAGCCGTCTCAACAAAACAGTGCTGAAAACTTTGCCCGGGACAGAAAGAAGAGTAATGCCCCTCCAGTTGTTGCAGTCTGCCAAGTTGCCCTTTTTTGGAAGCTTTACTCCCTTTTGCCAGTCCTCTGGGACTGTCCATTCTACCGGCATCTCTTGTCACTGTAGTGTCCGTATGTTATTGGACCTACGTAGTCTCCACTCCCTTTTGTGCCTGGTTCTGCACCATGTGTTTACGTATGGCTGCAGGTAATCACATTTTACTTATTCATATTAGATTGTAATTTTAATTAGTAGTTTATATAGAATATCACTACCGCGGATTTCGTTTATGTTGGACTATTCTTTTTTTAAAAGCCAGCATGTAGATGAATTTATTTATTGATATGCGTACCTGTAGTATACTATACGAATTAGATCATATATAGAATGTTTAATGTCCATCTTGTTAGGGAACTTCATAGTCATTAATTTTTATAATGTTTCTGATGTATCATATCCCTCCTTATGTTCTGATAAGAGATGATTGGTTTACATTATTAGATTTTCTATTTTTTGATGTAGTATTTAGACCTGATGTTGTGTGTACAACTTGGTCTAACCATTTAGGCCTATTAATTATGTTTAGTTTATGCCCATGTGTAATTATGTTTTATGTTTGCCTTTGGCAGGTCTTTAATGTATAATAAACAGTTTGGAATCGTCTTACGAGTTGCCTTCGTCATGTCATTTAGTGTGTTCTGTGACAAACCCACCACATTAAAAAAAAAAACATGAATCCTAATAAAAATCATGTAAAAATACCTCGCTTCGCTGACGGTCTGTTATGTACTCTTAAAATTAATATAAGGTTATTAGGGCCAAAAAATATCGTTGGAATTTTAAAACTCTAAATTTCTATATAACTATTGTATATTTACACTGTTGTTATAGAAGTGAAATTTTATGCTAGTTGTGTGCGAATTTAACAGTAGAGTTACTCAGTGTTTTGAAATATTTGATTCTGTGAAGCTAATTTATATAGTTCTATGACAACCTATAGGCCTACTGTCCTATACTATGGTGTTTCGTTCAGAGACACTTTATATTGGACAGTTTGATTTAGTAAAATTCTACATTGGACTATTGGATTTCGTGTTGCTTGTAGGTAACACTGTATATTGAATTGTAAGATTTAATATATACCTATACTTCGAAAAAAAAACAACCTAATCAACGAGGAGAATGTTCATTGTAAAAGTCAGATGAACAAAATATATGTTTACAGTTTACGCTCACCCTTAACCCTTAAAACGCGTGTGGAAGTTTAGCCTCTAAACATCAAATTGTAACTCCATTTTGTATGCACTCATTGTAAGACAGCTCAGCACTTTAAGGGTTAAGATGTAAGGCATACACCAACAAACATAAACACACACACACACACAAATTAGGACTTAAAACATGGGGCTTGCGGATAATTGGATTTACTTGCCGAGATGGATAGATTGACGGATGGAGAGAGAGAGAGAGAGAGAGAGAATGTATAAAACTCAATGTGTTAGAACAGTGAAGCCCAACCTAGATCGGCCCGCGGGCTATTTTAATTTCTGAATACTCAGGTCGCGGGCCATATCAACGAAAAGAAAAAAAAAATTGACAGGTCCGCTGTGACATCCAACCAGACTTTTCCACTTTTCTTCGAAGTTTTAGATTCAGAGTCCACTTTTTGTTTTCTTGGGATCCCCCGTTTAATAGTAGTATTGTAATAAATTGGTACTGCACCTCCTATGTTGATACCAAAACATGATCTGTAATGATGCCATGGGTTGCTCTCACAAGATGTCACGCACAGACAGCAGCGGATACTTCAAAGAATTGAAAATAAGAGATTCATGTGGGCTAAAAATTAAAAAATAAACTTTTTTCCTTACAAGAACAAAAAAAATAATATGACTATTAAACTAGCAAAGAAAGAAAGTCATGAAACAAAGGGAGAGAACCCTAACATAGGGACAGATACATTTTTCAACCTTTTTTGTGTGATTTTCTACATTTTGGTCCGATATTTGGGCCAAATAACACTATGTCGCGGGCCAATGGGCCGTATTTTGTCATCACTGATAACTCACAAGCTATACATGTACCATGTTCATATAGTTGTACACGTGAAGCCAAGTTCTGAAACAATGAATAATACATGCGCGTTATATACATAAAAAATGGTACCTGGTGCTGCCATTATTCCTGTTCGTACCAATAATATCTGAAATGTCACCCCACCCCCTTTCTTATCGAGCGTACCGTGACACCAGCCTTTCCCCTTCGACCCCCCCCCCCCCCATCCCCCATGATAGCGTTTCGCTCACCTCTTACATTCACTTAACAGTGCTGGAACTTTCTACCGCCATCCCTCCTTCCCATATTAATAACTGCTGTTGATGGTACGCATAGGGGGAGTCAATATCGTAAGGGAACACCTTGGCGTTACTTAATACAGCTCCTGACCAATTAGCATACCAGCGCGTGATTTCGCAAATGTAGCCTGGGATTCCTAGACATGTAAATATTCACAGGCTATGCAATCTATTCACATTGTATCCTTCTTTACCCTTGCGGCTATTATCGTACAAACAGAAAAGAAATAAACTTCTTAACCATTTTCTTTTCCATACACAAGATTCAATAGTTATAGTCCATAAAAATATGTTGAATAATACAAACAACACTAGAAGAATGATTTTATATTAGCAGCTAGCATTCGTTCACTGTCAACACTACAGCTAACAAGAGAAAAAAAAATACTTAAAAAAAAAAAAGAAAGCTTATATAAAGGGAAGAACTGTACTATATATTATATTTTTTCTCTGCCTGTTCTCAAACTGATGTCTGTATTGATCCAGACACCGGCTGGCAATGTCAAGCAATTGGATCACACACATCATGAAACAATTCCCTTGGTATTTTGACACAATCATTTTCATTGACAACTCTGTGTATATGTTGTTGTAGGTTTCATAGCATAGTCTTTTAAGTATCCACATTAAAAAAAAATCTAATGGTGTAAGGTCAGGTAAATATTCAACAATTCCGTTCTTCTTTGGTTACTATCATTTGAAGTGTGTCTACATTTTGGGGGGGATAGCTGTATTATTGCTGGGATTGTTTGTTGTTTTTTTTTATGTCTCGCCTTAAAACCTTCCATGTGGTGGAAGTATTGGGAAAACTTGTTTGTCAAAAGACTATCAGAAGTTGATTGGCTATCTAACAACTGTGTGTAATAGTTCATAAGAGAAATTAAATTGCTCACATTAATCATGCCAACTTGTTTCTATTCAATGGTAGTGAAGGGGAAACAACCATGTCCTTATCAGTTTCAAAAAAACATTATTTAAAAAACACCTTGAACCTTTTTCTTTATGAATTTGAGAAACATCAACGAAACAATAGATTATCTATATTATTTAGCTTTATTCAATTTAAAAAAAAAAAAAAAAAAAATGCTTTTGTAATTACAAATGAAATCTGTAACAGCAACAGTTTATCAAATCAAATAATTTAGCTTTTAAACTTTGTGCATACATTTTGCCAATAAACTTAGAAGTTCCAAAAAACCGACAGGACAGTCACACGACTGGACTCTAGTGACAGCAGCATACAATGTGGCATACAAGTTACAAATGACAACAACATTAAATCACAGTGAATGACACTCTACATGACTGACAAAGTATGACATTAAAATGGCGTGCTCTGATACTATATAAAACATTTATTTTACAGAAGGCTAAAATATGATAAGCATAAGAGAGTTGGGCAATGACAAGGGCAGAATACACGAGATCCAATGGCAGGCCTCAAATATCAGGGGGATAACTTAATGGTAGAATTGGAATGTAAAATGAAAACATATTTTTATTTACTCAACACAACTGATACAGCTTATTATGGTTTTTTTTCTGTTTTCCATATCCTGACTTATTTCTGAGAAAAAGTTCCTACAGTGTTTGTAGAAAGAAAAAGTAATAGTTATTGTCATTGTAAAATAACATTCTGTTCAAGATAAGATATTTCAAATTTAAAAATGCAAAGTAAATGAAAATGAATAAAAACAAGACAAAATCTCATTTTAAATTCATCTTTAAGAAACCTGTCTGTACTAGAACATTAGCAAACTAAAAGAAGATTTTCTCTTTTTAGTCATGAAACAGCAAACGTAATGCTCAAGAATATAGAAATGGCAAGGGATATATTCATAAAATTATTTCCCTTTTATTACAGCACTGCCAAACTCCACCCCTAAAAATAAAAAATTTGCAGCTACAAAGTGTAGAAATATTCCCTTGCAGGACTTATTAATAGATCTCATTATGTCAATGTAATTCCACTCAAACATGATCATGATTTATGAAGACATGTAACATACATGGTATTAAAATAGAAACATAAAAAATTTCATTGTATTAAATGTTAGAACCTTTAAAGACAATTTTGTTTATTACATAAGGATAGTCCATGACAATAGATAGAACATACATGTATGAAATATAAAGAAACAGTTCATATTTCTATTGATAAAAATAAATGAATCATTCAAAACAGAACAAAAAAGGGAGACAATAGAATAATAATTAAAAAAAACAGCAAAGGTATGTGTGCTACAGTACTGTTTTAAATACGATTGCACTTTTTTTTTTTCAAACAAAAGTTTCACAAAAGACTGTACAGAGTGGAAAACAATCAAGGCTTTTTACTTTCTTTGTTAATGGGGGAGGTAGGGGGGGTGAAGAATGGGAAAAAGAATAGGAATTACAAAATATTTTCTAGACACAAACCAAGAAAATAATAAATGATAAGAGCAATATGTAAACAAATGTAGGCAATATTCCTTTGATCTAGCAGCATATGTACATGACTTTATTGCCAAATTTTATAAACACAAAAATTGTAAATTAAATAAAGTCAAAACAATTAATTTAAGCTTCAATTTTGACATCTTGAGATGAAATCTACAAACACACACACTTTGTCTCATTTTATAAATTTATAATTATTAAAAATACATTTTTTGCACTTTTTTTATCACAGTTAAAAATCTAAAGTTTTCATTAGTTTATAAAACATTTCAAAATAAAAAATAAACAAGTCGAATCCAAAATATGAAATTATAAGGATAATAGATCCAAGGCATGCATTGCAATGTCACTAACAGAGAAGTAGGCCTACCAACCTTGCACAGCCAAATAGAAATTAATGCAAGCACTTTACCTAGATCCATGTTGAGCAATACTGTTTAGCAATGTGGAATAAGTACATGTAGACTCCTACCTAGTACCAGCACATGTAGATACAAGCTATCCTGTCAAGATGTACTTAAAGCCTTTGCAAGATAAAACAATTGAAGAGTTGCTATATTAGGGGAAGGTGCCAGCCTAGCTACAAATGGAATGTGCACAACCCTTTAGTAAAAATAAAATAAAACATGTTATAACTTAACACCATTACACATTTACATCATTCTTGGTCTGATTAATATACAATTCAATATGTAGAACTAGACACCATTAGAAAGTTTACTGTCATGATTTAAAATATTTGAAAAACATATTAAGACAAGGAAATAAAAATTAGTTTTAAATAGTGATATCCTTTTTTTTTTCTTAACCACCCGTGTGTCATATCAATTCTAAGCCATGGGGTAGGTGCCATCTTCTAAGCCATGGGGTAGGTGCCGTTGAAGAGAATGAGGGGAAACATCCAGAGGTCAGGGTGCCCCACATGTGACATGGTATTGTAATCAGATTTGCTCCACTGGAAGGGAGGCAGGTCATCATAGGTTGGGCTACTAATAGCCAGGAAGGACAAACTCAGAGACAGTGAAAAATTTGCAAGCTGAAAAAAAACAACATATTTGTGATATAAGAAAGAGTAGTTTGTAAAAAAAAAATGATTATACTTTGATATATGTTTATGTATTTTGGTTTCATTAGACAAAACAAAATAAAGTAAAACAACAATCTATGTGTACTTACTACTAGCAAATATCTACGGTTATAAAAATGATGTACAACAAAAGTTGCCCTTAAGTTGCCAATTAAGCTTTAATCTCACTTTAAACAAAAAACTTGCAAACAACAATTTTGTTGGGGAAGAAGTCTGACCAGCAGCTAGATATTATTTTTATAAAGAAATATAGGACATTTTCTAAAAACAATTTAGAATTTGAAAAAAAAAAAAAAAAAGATGTTATTTTCAATTATTGAAACAAAGTAGGACAAATTTTTTTTTTAGTTTAGCAATTTGCAATATATGTCATTCTTGGTCTTCAAAACCTGAAAAACTTTTTCACATTTCTTAAAATTGTATTGACATCTAAGTAATGATAAACAATATGGACAAAAAAAAACACAACCTTTTGTCATGTGAAATTTGTCTGCCAGTTAGGCTCTTTGTGATTGGGACACGTTATTAGAGATATGTGCTTTATAAATTGAAAAAAAAAAAAAAATTTTTTTAATCACCTTCATATCAGTAGCAATGTGCGGGCGATGTCCAAGAGCACTGAAGGGGTAAGTGCCATCAATGGGGTTTAAATCATCTCTACAAGCAATAGCATTCTCTGCCGAATAGGGTGGAGTACAATTACAGCTGGACAGCGGGTCATGCATGAAATCATTGTATCTGTAATCAGAAATCAGAGTCAAGTTTCTTTTTTTAAAAAACAGTCTTCAGCATTTGTGCAGGTTGTCATTAACTTTCAATCTCACATTAAAAGTGAAATAGACTTAAATAAAGACCAGTGCACAAACCTCATCAACCTAGTCATTGAGTTCATGTCCACCACTTTGGGAACATCCCTCTTGTAAATCAGAGCTCTCGGGTTCTTATCGTAAGTGAACCAATCACCAAACTGATTGACCAGAGCTGGCATACCACTGGCATTGAAGATGTTTGGAAAATACCTGAAAACAGAGTAAAGACTTTACAACATACAACTTTCTTAGACAGATACAACAAGACTTTACATACATTACAACATATTTTTCTTCTTCGTTCTCATTGTTATGTTGGAGTGTTCAGATGACTAGACCAATAAATGAGATGAACTGTGCAGTGGTTTCCAAATCAGGGAGCTCTCCATATAGTTATCTTTCTATTGGGGTGATTTGGGGCCAATGTCTTATACAGGCCTCTTGGTAAAGAGAGCAGTTTTGGAGGATGTGGTCGGCATTCTCTGGTGATACTCCACATGGGCAGATTTCACTGGTTCCAATTTTGAGCTTCCGGTACATGTGTTGTCGCATTCTGTTGTGTCCGGTCCTGAGTCAAAAGATTAGACGTTGGTCTTGTCGGGATAGCTTATAGTAAGCATCATCTTTCTTGTAATTTGGATGAGAGCTTGTCCATTTCTCATTTATTTTATTTACATTTAATTTCTTCAATTCTTCTGGATAGAGTGCAGAGTTTATTAGTGAGTTAGTTCTCCCACTCTTGGCGAGTGTGTCAGCCTTCTCATTTCTTTCTAGTTCTATATGAGCTGGGATCCATTGAATAACAGTTTTTTTGCTGTTGTTGTTGAGTTTTGTAAGTACTGTTCTGAGTTTTTTAATATGAGGAATCAGAGTTTTGCAAGTTTTGGAGGGTTGTTTTTGCATCGGTTAGAAAAACAATCTGACTGTGTGGGGAACTTGGATGATTTGCTAGCATGGTAGAAGCTAGTGCTAGTGCTTCCCTTTCTGCTCTGTGACTGTCAGAGAGCTCCCCAGTAGCAATGGATTTTTCTAGTTTTCCTCCATCTGGCCATTCGATGAGTATTCCAGCTCCTCCATTTGTGGTGGCTTTATGGGATGAGCCATCAGTGTAAACTCTGATCCACTGATTGCTAGGATAATTGGTATGTAGAAAACAGTTCACTATTTCCTTGAGCTCTGTTGGTCTGTAATCAGATTTTCTTTTTATGTTTTCAATATGGTCCCTTATAGTAGGAAGAGGGCTTTTGTCCCAGGGTGGAGATTCATTATAGTGTATCGAGGATTCCTGAGTAATTTTTTCAAGTTGGTGTTTCTCTTTTAGGTTTAGAGATTCCTTTATGAAATTGGTCCTTTTGAGATGTTCTTTTGTGCCAGTTTTGTGGATTTTTGTTCTGAGTGGGTGCCTCTCCATGGTTTCCAATTTAGTGAATTGGGAAAGGATTTTTATTTCTCTTCTTTCATCCAGAGAGATCAGGGCAGCAGTTTCCTCCTTAGCTCTTATGGGTGTTGTTTTGATTGCTCCTGTCATTATCCTTAGACCAATATTTTGAACCTTGTCTATTTTTCTTAGGTTGGTTTGGGCTGCTGAGCCCCATGCTGTGGCACCATATTCTAGTACAGGTCTTACGTAACTGGTATAGGTCTTTTTCAGGATGTTGTGATTAGCTCCCCAATTTGCGCCAGCTAATTTTTTCAAGAGGGATAGTCTCGGGTCATAGGTGACTCCAAGGTATGTAGGGCAGTCATTTTTTTCTAAAGCTTCCTTATCTAATGTTAATTTTATTGTTTGTTGTTTTGTTGACAGTGAGAATATGGAATATGTGGTCTTTTTTGTGTTGATGGACATGCCCCAGTCTTTGGACCAATTATTGAGTATATCAAGAGCATCTTGTAATTGAAATTTCGATGTTCCTACATATTCTTCTGTGCTAATTAAGGCAAGGTCATCTGCATACATGCTGCTTTTAACTTTTCTTGGTAGGTTTTGATTTAGATCATTTATGAATATTAGGAAAAGTGTTGGGGATAGGACTCCTCCTTGGGGGACACCATTTTTTATACCCAGTGTGTGGCTTCTTTGTCCTTGCATGCAAACTAAGGCTTTTCTATTATTTAGATATTCCTTTATCCAGTTGTACATTCTGTGGGATATGTGATGCTGGATTAGCTTGAGCAAGAGACCTTGTTCCCAGACTTTGTCAATTG